TTTTATTTTAATAAGTCTGCCTCTGTGGTTCATCATTAATTAGAATGTCAAATATTTGAGATAAAGAACATCTGCCTTAATGAAATCTCTCATCATTCTAATTAACTTGCCGTCTGAGATGTGTTTACCATGAGTTTTTCTAAAATTGGGAATAAATGTGAAGTTTTATCACATATGGCTTTGTGTCACCTACAGTGATGATTACATACTTCATATCCTTTGACTAAAGGTGATGAATTATTTTTAAAATTGTCCTAATATCGAACCATCCTTCATTCCTGGAATATGCCCTACTTTGTCATAGTATGCCATTCTTTTAAATTGCTACTGCATTCAGTTTTCTAGTTTTGAGATTTTTTAAGAATCTATATTCTTAAGGAATATTGGGGGGGTGTTTAATGCTATCTTTGTTAGATTTAAGAATTAGGTTATGGTCACTTCATAAAATAACCTTTCAATGTTTTCTTTGCCTTGGAACAGTTACAAGATAGAATTGCTTCAGGAAAAAAATGTGTTTGGCACCTTTCTTTAAAGTAATCATTTAAAAACTTTAAAATTTTACCTGTATTTACAAAGTCTATTCAGTTTTTCTGTGACTTTTGAATACACACACACACATATCATTCATCAGTTCTCTTCAGCTCTACTTAGGCCTATGGATATTTAGGTCTATTCAGATTTTATATTCTTTTGGGAATATTTGGAATCAATTTTTTTTATTTTTTCAAATATTTTTACATGCTTATATTCTTTCTCATTTATAGATAATTAGAAAGGAAGGAAGGAAGGAAGAAAGGGCGATATATAAAGAAAATATAGAGAGAAAGAAAAAATACAAAAATATGTTTGTTTATATTTTTTCTCATTTCTTATCATGCACACATTTCACATACAGGTTTTCCAATTTTATTGATATTCCCCAAAGTTTCAACTCTGTTTTTTTAATCTATTTTTTCCTTCATTCATATTTTTATTATCACTAAATTATTTTGCCTGCTTTCCTAAGGATAGTTTTTTGTGTGTGTTTATTTTTTTTGCCTTCTTTATATACACCTAACTTCTTTCAATTAATTAGAGTACATTTTGTAAGCTTATATGGTAGCAACTGTCATCTTCAATTTTTCAGTTGAGGAAAGGAGAGATGGCTGTGAGAAATTATTGAGGCAGATATAGATTTCAGTGTTCTTGATTAACCATTACAGTGCCCAGAGGCTAGAGAGAATCTTATGATTTGCCATCCCTGAAGAGTCTGTCTAGTAATCCAGACATAACAATAGACTCTGTAATGTTATTTAATCATATTTTTAGTCACTCATTCATTCATTAAATATCTATTAAGTGTTTTTGGTTCCAGACCTTGTGCTATCTTTTGGAGATACAAATATGAAAAGACACAGAACCTGCATTCAAGGATGTTGTAAGTCAAGAGGAGAAACAGATAATGTATTACAAGTATAGTAATTACTATGATGGAGGTATATGCATGTTGTTTGGGAAACATATACATAGCACAAAGTTACTCAGGAAAAGTAATAGATGACTTAGAAAAACGATTTTATTCATTTATATTCAGCAAATATATTTTAATATCTTTTATGTGTCAGATAATTTGCTGAGACCTGGGGAAGACATAGACATAAAAGTCATTTTCCTTATCCTTGAGGAGCTCTCAGTCTAGTGGGAAGTAAATAATCCTATTATAATAAAGATGTATACCTGATACCTATGCAGACACAGAAGAAAAACTAAGTAAGACTGCCAGGAGTCAAAAAGACTTACTTTACAGAGAAAATAGTATTTGAGCTGATGCTTGTAAGGTGAGCAGAGATTTATTAGATGGACAAAGTGCGGCATTCTAAGCAGAGGGAACAATGTGGGCAAAGGTGACACAGTGGTATAAAAAGGCAAATAGTCTGCTAATGCCAAAGTACATGGTACAAGGTGGTAAGGGATGAGAAAAAAAGGTGAAAGATAACAAACATTTATTGAACTCTGACAGTGTGTCAGACACTATTCTAAATATTTTATATAGATTAACATTTAATTCTTACAGTAGCCTAGGAGGATTCAGATAAATGCTGTTATCCCACTTTATAGATGAAGAAATTGGTCAGAGCAGTTAAATATCATGTCCAAAGTTACACACTGATGAGTGGGCGGCCAAGATTTGAGTCCTGGTAGTCTGACTCCAAAGCCTATGGTCTCCTGCCTAGTATAGACAGAGACCAATTTATAAAAGGCTTTATATTCTATACCAAGGAATTTGGATTTCACTCCATCAGTGTCTAGAAGCCATGGAGGTGTATTTAATTATAAAATTTACATGATGAGATTTTTATTTTAATTCATGGCATTTGGCATATGGATTAGAAGGGATAACTTTAAATGAAGAGCAAAGCAGAGAAAAAAGGAGGCAGCAAGAGGGGCAAACAGCTTCTACAGTCCATGTAAGGGATGATGGAAGCCCTGAGATAGAGCAGTGAATCAGGCAACAGATTCAAGAGTTATTATGGTGGAGTTTGGGGATATGTTAGATGGGAATGAGGAACAAGGAAGAATGAAGAAGCTACGATGATTTTCAGATTTCTGTCCTGGGTAACTAGATTGAAGTTAGTGCCAGGACCCATGACAGAAAATATGGGAAGAGTGTTCTAGATACTGGCTCTGTATTCTCATAGTTAATATGCCAGGGATGCAAGGATTTTTAAGTACCCGCAAATCAGTCAGTGTGATATACCACATTAACAAATTCAAGAATAAAAACCATATGATTATCTCAGTAGATGCAGAAAAAGCTTTTGAAGCATAAAAAAAGTTTCCATTTATGATAAAAACTCTCCAGAAAGCAGGCATAGAGGGAAAATACCTCAGCATAATAGAGGCCATATATGACAAACCCACAACTAACATCATACTCAATGGTAAAGAGCTAAAAGCATTTCCTCTAAGACCAGGAATGAGACAAGGATGCCCACTCTCACCACTTTTATTCAACATAGTATTGGAAGTCCTAGTCACAGAATCAGACAAAAAGAAATGAAAGGAATCAAAATTAGAAAGGAAGAAGTAAAGCTGTCACTGTTTGCAGATGACATGATGCTATACATAGAAAATCCTAAAGACACCACCAGAAAACTACTAGAGCTCATGATGAATTAGGTAAAGTTGCAGGATACAAAATTAATATATAAAAATCTATTGCATTTCTATATACTAACAATGAACTATCAGAAAGAGAAATTAAGGAAACAATCCCATTTACCATTGAATCAAAAAGAATAAAATACCTAGGAATAAACCTACCTAAGGAGGTAAAAGACCTGTACTTGGAAAACTATAAGACACTGATGAAAGAAGTTGAAGATGACACAAACAGATGAAAAGATATACCATGTTCTTGGATTGGAAGAATTACTGTTGTTAAACAATCATGTTACCCAAGGCAATACACAGATTCAATGCAATCGCTATCAAAATACCAATGACATTTTTCACAGAGCTAGAATAAATTTTTAAATTTATATGAAAACACAAAAGACCCCAAATAGCCAAAACAATCTTGAGAGAGAAAAACAGAACTGGAGGAATCATGCTCCCTAACTTGAGATTATACTGCAAAGCTACAGTAATCAAAACTGGTGCTTGCACAAAAACAGACACATAGATCAATGGAACAGAATAGAGAGCCCAGAAATATACCCGCACACCTATAGTCAATAAATCTACTACAAAGGAGGCAAGAATCTACTATGGACAAAAAGTCTCTTCAATAAGTGGTGCTGGGAAAACTGGACAGCTACATGTAAAAAAATGAAATTAGAACATTTTCTAACACGATATACCAAAAAAAAGTCTACCATTTCAGACTCCAGGTACCATGACAAAGTCATTCTCCCAGTAGTTTAATGAACACAGTAAAATACCTGTCTTGTTACCAGGTTTGGATTTTTGCTTGCTTGGTTAGCATTATCAGTAACACATCCAGATAGCCCTTTCAGAAAGCCCACTCTACTGAAAGATATTTTTTATCAGTAACGTTGCTAAATAAATTCTGACTCTAGGTTAAAAATAGAATATTAATTTTTTTAAAAAGTCATTCTCATACCAATTGGTTTCTGATGTTTGGATATCTAAGTTTAATATAATTGTATGTACAGGTTCTTGGGCAGAAATGATAAATGATAATTATATGTACAGCTTCTTGGGCAGACATTTTCAGAGCTGTTCTATAGTTATTTTAAATTCTTGTCCATTGTCAGTAAACAAAGTTCCATGAATTTGAAACCCTAGTCACACAGGAAAATACCAACGTCAGTGATACTAAATAAGACGTAAATTGTATAGAGGAAGTTTTACTTTTATGCCCCTAAGTGGATATTGTATAATGAATAGTAAAATTGCATATAAAACTGTCTAATAAAAGGAAAGCTAGATTCTGTATTTCTATATTATAATTATTTTTTTTAAAAGCAAAGTAGTATAATTTGTCCAAAATATAACTTACTAATCTCCTAAAGTTAATTTGCAGAGGAACATGCTTGCAACATATTAAAGTTCTTTGCTGATACACACAAAAAATTTCAGAAAGTTATGAATTTGTCAGTGATCCCTCTCTCCTTCTGTTCTTACCATTTCACAAGGCAATCGGTCTTTCCTTTGAAAAAACTCCTCACATATGATACATTTGATTAGAACCAAAACCAAGGTCAAATCTTTCCTAAATCAGTCAGTTCTGCCTCATCTCTTTCTATCACATTTGAGCCAGGAACTTGTAGTGAAGCAAAAGAATAATGCTTTCCTATATGTATGACTAATAAAAAAGTAAACATCAGTGGTAGGGAATACAGTTACACAGTACACTGCTAAAATAAGATACAGTTTCCTGTTCTCCCATATGCTATAGTAATTGATATAAAAAACCTGAAGATATTCTGTACTGGCTATAGTTTGTCTCTCTATAATGTTCTCAATGTTTGTGTTGTTTGTGCATTTTTTTTCAGTCAAGAGAATCCATTCCATTAAATGACCTAAAGTCAGAAGTATCACCCCGGATTTCAGCAGAGGACCTGATTGACTTGTGTGAGCTTACAGTGACAGGCCACTTCAAAACACCCACCAAGAAGACCAAGTCCAGTAAACCAAAGCTCCTGGTAGTTGACATCCGGAATAGTGAAGAGTATCCTTTACACCTGAGTTTTAAAGTGTGGTACTGCTTCATTCACATTGCTTCCTTTTAACTTAAAGGGCATGTGGTAGGAGCAATGAACATAGTTGGGATTCCTCTGAATTCAGATAGCTAAATAACTCTCAAACTGGATGCCAGAACAGACTTGCATAATGTTTCATAAGATAACATTACATACCAGAAACCTTAAAATATTTCCCAAACAACACCAGAATAGTGGGCTGTTTTCTTGGTTTTTGTGTTTCACTGCTGTGTATTGCTGTTCTTGTGGGAATCCTTCCTGGTGTAGATAAAACTTTAGCAAAGATGAAGCGTAAGTATTTACTTTGTCTACCTCATAGCCTAGAGAGGAAAGTGAGCCAGATCTCAACACTGAACTTTTATTTATTATAATTTTCAAAATATTGGCTTATAGAGAACATGTTAAAGTATTTTCCACTGACATTTTAATATTAAATGTACCATAACTTCTGGTGGTTTGCTTGGCATTAAAGTATGAAAAGTTACAAAATAGTAATAGTTCAGTCTTTCTCCTTATATTTTCGTCATCTGTCAGATTTTTGTAAAGCATGCCTTGATGCTCTATACTCTAGAATCTAGGTAAATGATTTTCAGATATTTTTTGAACCAGGTAACTCCCTTTTAAAATAAAATCTTTCTTAAAAACTCAATATATAAAATATAAATGTAGAAATTTTTTACAAGTAATTTTCTTCATAAGTTGGTGGGAAGTGAGGCTAAAGTAGGCAAAGGCAGCTTATAGAGAATGTTGCATAACATGCTAAGAAGTTTGGGTTTTATGCCATAGGCTGTGAGAGTATTAGAGAATTTTAATCAGGTAAGTGGCATGCTCAGGTATGTGTCTTAGAGAGATTAATGCAGTGGGAAGAAGGATGAGAATGGAGGTAATGGTGTAGGCAAGACTAGAAGGATAGAATCACCCAAAGATTTGATGTGCATAAATATTCCTTCATATTTGCAGTCACAGAGAGTGAGGTCTCTAGCTTCACCCTGAAATAACCTAGTTTTACTAGGCCCTTTGGGTTGGTATCTGTGCTGGAGAAAATCCAGGAAAATGACTTCTGTTGCTGTTTCTTTCTTTTTTTCTCCTACTGTATTTTGACAAAAGAGAATTCTATATCGTGGCACTTACAAGTATTGATAAGTAGTGGTGCCACTAGCTAGGAAGGCCAGGAGGCATTTAGTGTATTTTCAGCTGCCACTAGTTACTCTAGGTTTGGCACAATTCTGAAATCTGTTTACTCAACAAATATGTTAGATGTATTCTAGATACTGTATTAAGCATTGTAAGAGTTTCAGAGATGAGATAATTACAGATCCTTCCTATAAATTATTTAAAGTCTTGGTGGAAGTCAGGTACATTAGTATGTTTTATTTAAAATCAAATTGCTGTCATGAGAGATATACAGATACTGTGGGAAGGGAAAATTTCATGGAGAAAACTCTCGAAGCCTGGGTAATACTTGAACACTCAAAAATATGGAGAAAAGCTATTTAGGCAGAGAAAAAGACAGGAGCTAGGCAGAACATATACTGGAAACAGCATGTAATTCAGTTTGGCTGGGATTGAAGTAAATAGTTTGGTTCTATTCATAAGGGCTGAACTGAGAAATTTGGGCTTTGTCTTGTAGGCAGCCATGGAAGGTTTCTCAGCATGGATGTGATAATAAGAGCTGTGTTTCAGATTTTTTAATGTAACATCGGGAATAAAATGGATTCCAAGGGAAAAGATGAGAGTTGGAGAAAACAGAAAGCTACTGCGATAGTCTAAGCTCAAGGTAGTAAGTGTCTGAAATAGGCAAGTGAAAATGGGACTAGAGTTAGGAGGATGCTATTTATTAGTACCCTGCAGTTGAATATTGCCACTATTGAGATGACAAAAATGAGGTTTTAGACTGACTTGGGGACGGTGGTGCTGTTCAAGGAAAGCAACAATAGATTTAGCAAGAAAAAATGATATCTAAAGATATAATTTTTATATCAGTTAATGCTATTTAGTTATATAATAGGAAACTTTTGGATTTTCATATATTAATATTAAAGGTATAACATTTACTTTGAGCTCTTTAACACTAATTATAATTAGCTAACATAGCAAACAGACAAGACAACATAAAAGTACACATACCTTCAGAAGTGGTCTGGTAAGATACTAGTATGCTTTGTATAGAGGTATGATGTCACTAAATGAGAAATGCTGTGCTCTTTTTTTTTTTTTTTTTTTTTTTTTTTGCGGTATGCGGGCCTCTCACTGTTGTGGCCTCTCCCATTGTGGAGCACAGGCTCTGGACTCTCAGGCTCAGCGACCATGGCTCATGGGCCCAGCCGCTCCACGGCATGTGGGATCCTCCCGGACTGGGGCACGAACCCATGTCCTCTGCATCGGCAGGCGGACTCTCAACCACTGCGCCACCAGGAAAGCCCAGCTGTGCTCTTTTAGGATTTAAAAAACATGAGATTATTTCTGTGTTGAATTTTGAGCCATTAAATATTTTAAAGGAATTTTAAAATCTTTTAGTAAAGTGAAGAATTTTTTCTGGAATATGAACATTTACCTATGTAATTTACCTATTGGTGTACCTATGTTGTTCTTAGAACTGATATATTTTTCTATCTGCTTGATTAAAGTATGATGCATCTACTTGTCGCACTTTTTTATAGACTGACTTATGAATACAGGAAAGTCTTCGTATCTTAGAAACCTACAAGATAATGCATATCATCCTTACCTGTTAATATTGTTCTAATAAACCAACTCTTTTATCACAAAAAAAATTTAAGGTACAAACACCTGACTTGGTGACTGTTATAATAACTAGATGCTTTTTTGTTTTTTTATAGCTACTATTCTTCCATGGAAGAGATTTCATTGTAATTACTGCTGACTTCTTTAATCATGTCTTGTATCTTTTAATTCCTTCAAAGACATCATCAAAAATCCTAATAGCAAAAATATCTTATAAACATTGAAAGGTAAAAAGCTAGTGTGTGTGCCATTGTTTTTTATTGTGGTTTTTGCCAAAACCAATCTGAAAATTATGGTGGACATTGTTATAAGTACACTGTCAAGATGTATATATGATTGAGACTAATTACCACATAAATACTTGGGCTTCTATTGCCTTAATACTCTCTAAACTGGGTACTTTGAAGCTGAAGCTTTTTAAGTTTACAGTATAGTGTATGTCTGTTGGGTAGTACACTCACTATAGAACCTCTTTAAGTGTGGGTATTGTTTACCCCATGCCTGTGTTTATGCTGACAAGCGCTGGCTTTTCTAAATGCAAAAGGCAAATGCAGAGTCCAAATTTTTGTCTAGATTATGAGGAAAGCAATGAAGTAACAGTCGTAATCCTAAAATATATATTGTTGCATGTACGTCTCTAATACTACCTTATTATTAAGAACTTATACATACTTGTCTTCCACTGCAGTACAAGGAAGTAAAACTTACGTCCTTAGAACATGGAGAAAGTGCTTATCTCAGTGTATTCTGTATTATTTTGCTCTTGCCATGTTTTGCCCAGGATTAATCAGAGTCACTATATGTCAGAAATCAACTTCTGTTTTACTTTACGTATTCTGTCCAATTAACACAAAATGTACAGAATCTATTCTGTGCTCATTTTTCAAACACTTAATATTTTATTATGATTATGAAAGACTCAGAAAGTTAAAAATAATATTCAACTGCCTACCTTTACAGTATAATCTGACAGCCTCTGTGTTTAGAAATTGCCTTAAAAAGTTCTACTTCATCATATGATGTTTGTGTCACATGAGAATTTCTAATGTAGGCAGTGAAATGTAAATAATCACCAAGGAAACAAGATCCTTAAATAACCGAAATTGTCTTCATTGTCCAACTTACTTAAAAAGAAAATGTTCATTATAAATATATTAATGTGTAACTAGGCCAGTCTCGTTCTCCTCTGCTATTTGCCAGTCTCACAGTTAAGGATAGCTATTTACAGGTTTGACCACCCTGTCTACAAGCATTTGTGCTTACCCAATCTTATTTGCACTAGAATTTTTATGACAGGAGTGTTCTTTGATGAGTGCTTTTATATGTCTTCCAGGGTGTTTTTGCTTGAACTAAACTAAGAATAGGGGAAGTGTGGTTTAAGACGTTTTTTTCTTTTGTGTCTTATCTTCCAAAGTGTTAAAATAGCCTGAAAAATGTTTGAAAAAGTTTTGCATTTTGGATTATAACATTTCTCTTACCCAAAAGACTGTTGCAATCTTACTTTGTCAAGCATTTTCACATTTAATCTAGTGGTTTTTTTAAAAGCATCAAACCATAAAGCACAAAAGAAAATTCTGGGATAAGTTTATGACATACTAAAGTGTTCTTTAAAAGCACATAATAAATTCGTGATATTGAACCCACAAAATCATCTAGATGCTTATCTATGAATTTAGATACAGATATTAGATAGTGGGTATTTGGATACAGATGGGTACTTTTTTTTAAACCAAATATTTATAAAATTTATCTTGTAAAATAAATAATTTTATTTCTAGAGTCACTAATTTTTCAACATCTGGCTGAATAAAATATATATAGAAGGCACTCAAATGTGATTTTACATTGTTAAGCTTAACACAGTCTGAGCATTGTCGTTTATCTTTTATTTTGATTTTGAAGGGAGGGAATCTAACTGGCTCAGCCTGACACAGGATATCAGCCTGTGTCAGATATCCACCTTCTCTCATCCCCTCCCTCCTATCCTGTCAGTCCTGATCGTGGCAGGATCACCTGATACAAACATGACAGCCTAGGCTCACCCTTTCATCAGGGTCAGTAGTTGAGCTCCTTTCAAACAAGAAGGTGGGAGGTGGGCAGGCAGTGCAGACATGTCTGCTAGAGCATTTGACTAGTATAGATTTGTATTGCTTTTGCTATTCAAAAAGCACTAGAAAGGAAAAATGTTCATGGTTGATACTGGCTGTTTGATAAACACAGAAACTCTCTCTGCCAGTTGATTCAGACTAGCAGATGTAGATATATTTGCTGAGAATAATTGAGTTGTTAGGTTCAGAGTTTCTGAAAAATCAGTTATTTTTATTTTAAGGTGTGCCCTTATTGAAGATTAAAGTGCTATCGGAGTAATTATATGCTGAGTACAAAGTCATTTCTGTTCATGAAAACTGCAGTTGATATTTTGAGTATTGAGTAATTATAAATGTTTGAAAAACTAGTGCTGTTGAAATTCAAGGGTGATCTCCTTATGATCATAAATTCTCTCTTCATTCTAGAAGACTCTAATTAAACAGTATACACTGAGATGATAATATTTATTCTACCTCTCATTTCATTTTTCAGAACTTTTTATGTCCTTTCCCTCATTATTAATGCCAGATGCCTTCTTTAAAGAAGAAAGGATGAAGCAACAGCTGACTAGAAATTTAAGATACGTGTTCAACCTCCACCATCATTCTTGAGAGTAGGCGCCTCAAATTTCTCCTCTCTTCATTACTGAGGGGAAAAGAAAGACAGAGAAACAAGAGAAGTAGTATTCTAAGGATGAACCTACAAACTGGGGCAACTGAGAAACTGTCATGTCAATAAATAATTATAATTTTCCCCCTTCTACAGGAATGACAAATGAGTCTTTTTGGGGGGATGGGGGAATATTCGTTGCTTGTGACATAACTTTTTAAAACTCTACGACTTTTCCATTTTGTAAAGAACACATCTAAAGTGGAAGTTTAGGGGAAAATGCTTCTATTGAACACAAACATCTCTTCATGGTCGTTATCAGTGATTGTTAGGGAAGAGATGAGATACTGCCTACACGTCTTATAAACTAATCTTTACATTCACTCCCCTTCTAACCTTTCTCCACATTGTTGCCAAAGTGCAAATGTGATCTGTTACTTCTCTGCTTAAAATACTTTCTGATTTTCATTGCCCTAGGATAAAGACCAATATTAACAACATGATCTGCAAGGCCCTGTATGATCTGGCCTCTGCATCCATTTCCAGGCTCATCTTATCTCATGCTGTCTTTGTTCTCTACACCAGTACTGGCCTTCCTTCCTTCCTCCTCATTGGTCATGTTCCTCCCCAATATATGCCTGACATTTCTGCCTGAAAATGTTTGTCCTTTCCACCACCCTATACCACCTCCATTCCATCCTGTTGCCTAATTAACTTTTATTAATTATTCATATTTTACCTCGACCATCACTTAGTCCCTTAGTGGAAACCTTCCCTGTCCTCCCCAAATTGATATATCCTATCAAAGCATCATATATATCTCTTTCAGAGCAGTTTTTATTTTATGCTTTTTTGAGAAGTTATTTGATTAATAATAATATTTCAGAATCTTCCTCTACAGACTATATGAAGAATCATCTTTTTAATTTCACTCTTTAAAATTGTACTTTTTAATTACTTTTGAAGGAATATTTTTTCTTTAAGATCTTATATTTCTAAATATTTTAAGCTTAAGCTTTTAATTCCAAAATTACAAGTAATAGTCAATGAAATCATTAAAACCCTTCTAAAGTACAAATATAGTAAAACATCACCACCTTTAGAGAACATAAAATTGGAAAGAATGGAAATAGCTAAGTTTACTTGAGAAATAAACCAACAACAGAAATGTTTGCAGCCAGTGCTAATGACCTCTAACAATTCTAAATAGAGTCCCATTTAGCAGTTGCTTGCCCAAAGTAGACAAGCTTTTGCATTATCAAGTTAGATCTGAGAATATCCATTTGGCTATATTTCAGATCTTTAAAATAATCATAATAATAGTAATGAGCTGAAAACCATGAATATTGTACAAGCTGTGTGACTGCCATTTATTTGTTGCATTCTGATCACTTTCACAATACTTCATTTAATCAGGAAAGTCTTCTTTCTATCTTTGGCTAGTCTTCCTTTCACTTGTTCATTGCATTTTCACATTTAACTTTTTTTTCTGCAGAGGTGCCTTACGTTGTTTAAATAAAATACTCATGTGAGCATGGAAGATGTTTAGAACTGTCAAATGTTCAGAAAAAAAAAAGAAAAAAGTAAAACTGATGAATAACTGAAGTAGTAATTAGTAAAAGTTTATTGTGCACACACCAAAAGACAGTTTGCAAACCAGGAGCGGTGGAACCAAAACATGGAGTGAGGCTCAGAGGTATATTGTTAAAAAGCAGCAGGGACTATTTTTCAGCAATTGGTTACAATATTAGAATTTTCTTAAATGAAAGGGAATTGGTTAGTGATCATCTCATATCAATTTAGGGGAACAATTTAAGTTTCACTTATGATTTTCAGAGACATAAACAAGTGACCCAGGTCAAGTTAGCCTCACTTGTCTTGCAAAATAAGCTAAATCTTCGCTTGTATGATTAAACTGGTTTCCTCTGCTCGGAGTTTTCAAGTCTGGTCTCCATTTGTGTTTGATTTTAATGGTACTATCTTCTGAGAATCAATTACCTCTGTGAGCTTCTGTCACACATTCAAGTCTGCACACAAATAAATGTTTTCCTTAACTTTTTTTCTCAGTTTTATTCGGGGTCACATTTCAGGCAGCATCAACATTCCATTCAGCACTGCATTTACTGCGGAAGGGGAGCTTACCCAAGGACCTTACACTGCCATGCTCCAGAGCTTCAAAGGGAAGGTCATTGTCATCGTGGGGAATGTGGCAAAGCACACAGCAGAGGTAAGTGTACGCAGAAATGTCATATGACATCATGATGAGCTTTTTACCTGCCCACTGCAACAGATTGTCTAAAAGTGTATTTCTTCAGAAGCTGGTTGCATATCAAATGAGCTTTGAAGATCTGTCTATAGTCTTACATAAAAGAGATTGTCTACCTTTTCCCAGTAAAAGAATTCAAGCTTTTTTCCTCATTGTGCAGCTTAGGAAACTTCAAATGATAGCCTAAGGTGTTTTCTTTCAGATTTGGTGTTTTTGTTTTTATCTACTTCCTGAAATTACAAGAAGTAGCTTCAATTCCTTCCATTGTAGAAAAACACTGGGGCTTGATTAGAGGTTCTGAAAGCTGACCATGATAGAATTTGTTGTATTTGGGGGTTTTGTTTACTATAGGCTCAAAGCTTTATGATGATAGAGAATTCAGGAAGGATATCAACTTTCAAATATGAGGACTATGAAACAATGAAATGACCTCGCTCTCTTCTGGCTATGTTCTTAAACATTTTGAAAAATAAAACAAAGAGTAGCTTTTGGAGGTCAAAAACATCACCTTTATTTTTTATAAAAGGCAAGTTAGAGAATAGGGAGTATGAGAACCAAAGGGGCTTGTTTACAAATCCCCCTGTCAAACTTATCAAAATGTACACTTTGAATATGCATGTTGTTATATGTTGATCATAGCTCAGTAAAGCTGTTTTATAAAAACATATCTAGATGTAGGCAACATTAATAAACCAGAACAGGCCCTTTTTCTAAAAGGACGGAAGAATCTGCCCCTGGCAAAGTAACAGAGATAGTTTCCTCCCTGCAGATAGCTTATGCAAATAAACTGAGTAATCCAGAATGGTGATCAATGGAAATATAGTCAAGTAAGAACTTTAAGACTTTTGGTCCTAGACCATTTTAAGCATCCAATAATCCTTGTCTCAGAAGTACAGAGCTAATGGTAGTATTGGCTTTTGTTTGTTTGTTTGTTTGTTTGTTTTTGGGTTTGGGTTTGGGTTTTTTTTTTGCGGTAAACGGGCCTCTCACTGTTGTGGCCTCTCCCGTTGCAGAGCACAGGCTCTGGACACGCAGGCTCAGCGGCCATGGCTCACGGGCCTAGCAGCTCCGCAGCATGTGGGATCTTCCCAGACCGGAGCATGAACCCATGTCCCCTGCATCAGCAGGCGGACTCTCAACCACTGCGCCATCCTTGATGAAGAAGCTTAACTGACCAAACTAAAGAATATCTGAGTGGATATTAGCTATAAGTCTTAAATCACTCCCCCTCTTTACATAACTGTATCTAGTGTCTAACAGGGAATAATCTAAATGTACCTGTTTCAGAGAAAGTCAGTATAGTAAATGACTAATATGCAATTTTAATAAGTAAATGAGGACATTTTAGAACTAAAGCCATGGTATCTGAATTATTTTGATGTAAGTTTATTATCATTATTATTATTATTATTTTATTACCACCACAGTACTGCTGCTGCTACATTAATCTGTATTGTCATATCATTCCAATGAAAAATATCCATTTTCAATTACAGTGCATATCAGTACATTCAACCCATAGAAATACTGTTGAGAATCACATATTTCTGGATTCCCCATAATATATAGCCTTAGGAAGAAATCTTTACAGTGATAATAATCCCAATTATTGACTGGTGTTTGTGTGCTAAGCACCGTGATAAGTACTTTCATATGTAATCTCTCTTTATTCTTCATAACAGTTTTATGAGGGAGGCATTATTTATTTATTCATATTTTATGTATGAGGAAAACTGAGACTCAGAGTTTATCTAATTTGTTTATGTCAGAGCCAGGATTGCAACATGAGTCTATATGACTAAGCCATACCCTTAACTCAGTGAGCAAGTAAGGCTTTTGAGTCTGAACGCTGCCATTTCTCCTGTTTTTTAAAAATAGACTTGTTCTGATTTTTCGCAGATCACAATAGTTCCTCCCAGGGTATGAACCCAAGACCTGAAATAAACGTTTATGCTCTAAGTGCTAACAAGCTTAAGCCTCTCCTTTCATAAAGCATTCACCATTTGGAAGATGTATCTAATAAGTGGACCTGTATAACTGAATCTTCTTAAATATGTCAAATGTTTCCAAACATCCCACTCATTGTATTAATCTCCAGATTTATGTTTATTCTGATTTTACTTTATCATAAAGGTCAAAACACATATACAAATAAGAGGATAACTCATTTCTTTCATCAAATAATAAATTATAAACCATTTGTCATGTTGTGAAATGCTACTCTATCACAGTGTGAATAAATTTAAAAGTTCAACATATAAAGGAAATCTGGAAGCAAGACTATTTAGATGAAGTAATAACAGTATTTGAAAATAATGGTAATAAGTAAAGACCCATCACATTCTGAATAAATTAGCCAACGTCTTGCTTGTCAGAAACCAGATCCTATCATGAACAGTTCCTTCTTCCTCAAACTCTCCATGATTATTCATGCTTGTAGACAAGTGACTGAACAAATTGTATGCTCAGTTATTAATGCTTCAATCCAACATCAGGAAGTAATTTTTGAGAAAGTTTTAAATATTTGTATAGAGATGTGTCAACTGAAAAAAATGTGCCGTCTAAAATTTAAGAATTATGTTTTATTCATTGGATTTACTGAGGACTTAAGCTGGGGATATAGCCTCTTGGATAGCTCTAAGGGACTGTTCCAAAGAGGTAAAGGAAGAGCCAGGGTATATAGGACTTTTTGCTAAGAAAAAAAATAAAATGTAGTTGAACATCAAAAGATTATTGCTAATCACAAAAACAGACATCTCTAGTTAATGATTTTAGTGCTTTTCTGTGTATGGGAAGATGCAAGAGTCTGGACTTATTGAAATTATTCCTTTGATATGCATCTTAACTGCCTTGGGCCACTATTCTGTTTTTCTCCATCCTGAATTCCCCTCAGGGTGCATCATCAGGGGCTGTTGCAGTGGCTAATGGCTTTATGGCTGCAACATCCTTTGTTTACTGAAATGGCTGGTGACATTCTTTATCCACAGATGTACATTTTTTTTAATATAAATTTTATTTATTTATTTTTGGCTGCGTTGGGTCTCCCTTGCTGTGGGCGGGCTTTCCCTAGTTGCGGCAAGGGGGGGCTACTCTTCGTTAGGGTTCACGGGCTTCTCACTGCAGTGGCTTCTCTTGTTGCAGAGCACAGGCTCTAGGCACTCGGGCTTCAGTAGTTGTGGCACGGTGGCTCAGTAGTTGCAGCTTGTGGGTTCTAGAGCACAGGCTCAGTAGTTGTGGTGCACAGGCTTAGTTGCTCCGCAGCATGTGGGATCTTCCCGGACCAGGGACTGAACCCGTGTCCCCTGCACTGGCAGGCAGATTCTTAACCACTGCACCACAAGGAAAGTCCCACAGATCTACTTTTAATCATTTTTCTCATCATGGGGCTAAAGAGAACTTTAGATATTCATTTGCTTATATTGTTCCATCATCTTTTTGTCTGCTGTACAGATCTGTATGACTTTACTAATGCTTCTTCCCCTCCTCACCCTCCCTTTAAGTTGGAAGCATCTCAACTTAAAGCATATTTACTGAATTCTACCGTGTATCCATGGTTGTACTGGATATCTTCCACTTGCCCTACCTCCCGTCATAGATCCATTCTCCACACTTCTTCACCCTGCTCTCTGCCCCAGATGGCTGACCTCCATGTCTTCCGGCTTCCAGTTGTTGAGCTAATGGGGAGCTCTGACAAGTTATGGGAAGGAGGGAGGTCAGGATATTTATCCCCCTGGATCCTTCCCTCAAAATTTTCTCAGTTTTGCTGTGTTCCTCTACTAAAGGTTAACACTGCTCTCCAGTAAGCCTTCTCTACACCACTCTCTTTCCAGCCCCCGGTCCCTTTAGCTATAGGGGTGGCAACAGCTCTGCTTTTTGGTAGTGCAGGTTTACTACACCATCCCTTATGGTTCTCTTACATCCCACCCATACCCTTGTAATTAATCTTATTGTAAGTAAAACCCCCTCAGTTTATCCTCAGGGCTTGTTGGAACCCTGACTGTTGCAAGCATACTATTTAAATGTATGATATTTTAGTCAGACTACATTAACTGCTCTGTTCTGTTTCTTACTAGCTGTTAATTTGTGCAAATTGCTTAACTTCTCCAAGTCACCACTGGTTCCTTTATAAGATGGGGAAAATAATACTTACCTCATGGCATTGTTGTGAAGATTTCAGATTAGGCAATAAGGTTCAGAACAAAGCCTGATAGTTATAGGCACTCAGTTGATTTCACCTATTAATTTTATTTTCCAGCACTATAATTTGCATGTATGTGAATATAATAAGTACTGCTTTATGTATGATTATAGTATAAAAGTACTAGAGTTTGGGAGTAGCATCAGCAAAATGGCAGAGTGGGCAGCTCTAATCTCCCATTCCTCCACAGAAACACTGAAAACAAGTAGAATCTGTACTTTGTTGAACAGACGTGGCAAAAGCAGGCATCCTTGTCTTCTTTCTGACCTTAGGGGAAAAGCTTTCAATCTTTCACCGTTGAATATGATGTTAGTTGGATTTTTTTCATATATAGCTTTTGCCACATTAAGGAAATTCTATTCTACTTCTAGTTCATTGAGTGTTTTTATCATGGAATGGTGTTGAATTTTATTAAATGTTTTTTCTGCATCAATGGAGATGATTATAATTATGATTTTCCCTCCCTTCTATGAATGCGGTATATTACGTTGATTGATTTTCTCATATGTTTAACTGTCCTTGCATTCTTAGTGTAAATTCCATTTAGTTATGGTGCATAATCCTTTCAATAGGCTCCTGAATTCAGTTTGCTAGTATTTTGTTGAAGTTCTTACATCACTATTCATCAGTGGTATTTGTAGTTTTCTTTTCTTGCAGTGTCTTGGTCTGGCTTTGGTAGAAGAGTAATGCTGATTGTAACATGAGTTAAGAAGTGTTCTCTCCTCTTCACTTTGTTGGAAGGGTTTGAGAAGAATTGGTGTTA